TGATCCCTGCAAAACCGATAGGGGTCACCCCTGGGCATATTCTAGCTGATCCCTGCATAACCGATAGGGGCCGACCTGAGTTCTCGCGGGCTTTACGTCGAACCATAGGTTTAGTCAGCCGCTCATATATATATATATATATATATGTATATGTATATGTATATGTATATGTGTATATGTATATATGTAGTTTTCTCCCAGTTCCAGAGTATGGTCCCTTGAAGTCCTCCAAAGAGGCGAGAACGGTCTAGTAAGGGCTTCAGGGCATTCTTTTTGGAGGTCAGCTGTGTCAAGAGCTGAGGGTTTATGGCTCAGGGTGGAGTTTAGCATTTTGGCTGTGAGTTTGAGTCTGGTTCGCCTCCGGTATCAAGCTACGGTTGAGGGTCTAGGGTTTGGGGTTTAGGGGTTCCGACATTGAGAGATGAGTCAAGAAGACTATAACATCTAGCCAAAGCCTTTGTCTACCCAGCTGTGCATCCTTGAGTCCTCTGACTGTAAACCCTAGACTCTAGACTCTAGACTGTGAGCCTTTGCACCAGAACAAAAACCTCTTAGACCTGAATCGAACAGCCTATGTGCAACTAGTCTGTCTATGTGTGCTTAACTCGTCCTTTAACCCTCAACCAAAATGCTAGCTGCTTGAAGACTCAGGAAACTTAGTAGTAAGCAGGGGCTACAAGCCCCTTAAATGGGTCGGTCCTCATCACGACCTTTAGGGTTTAGGACCTTAGGGGTTTAGGGTTTAGGGCCTAGGGCTTAGGGTTTTAGGGTTTAGGGGTTAGGATGCCTAAAACCCTAGAAAACCACAGCCCCAAGCTGTCCAAGGATGGCCCCAGGCACGTTGTGGGCAAACCCTACGTCGACCCCGTAAACCAAGCTGTTTAGGGATCGGGTTTAGGGTTTAGGGTTTAGGGATCCTTATTATAGTTTCCTTATATACGAGGCCTTCACAAGCTAGGTTAGTTGGGCTTCAGGTAAAGCTTAAACACTACTGGAAACGAAACCGTACATCTATAAACCTCGATATTTAAGATTTGAACTTGGGTATGGATAAAAATATGCCCATACGTATATACATACATACATATATATATATATAAGTAATTGCTCCTTTACGTTCTTATATAGATGTAATCATAGGGGCCTCTAAAGCAAGATTCTCGCGCACTGGTCAGACCCCAAGCCCTAAACCCTAAACCCCTAACCCCTAAACCCTAAACCCCTAAGCCTAAACCCTAAACCCTAAACACTTAAACCCTAAACCCCTAAAGCCCCAAAGCCCTAAGCCCTAAACACCTAAATCCCAAACCCCTAAAGCCCTAAACCCCTAAACCCTAAACCACTAAACCCTAACCCCTAAACCCTAAACCCACTTTATGTGAAAGAGGCGCGGGGGTTCAGGATTTCCAGGGCTCCGGGGGCTTCGCTCCTCCTGCTTTTCATGGTCGACCTGCGACTGACTGGGTTTAGGGTTTAGGGGTTTAGGGGTTTTGGGGTTTGGGGGCTTAGGGGCTTTGGGTTTAGGGGTTTAGGGGTTTAGGGGTTCAGGATTTCGGGTTTAGGGTTTAGGGTTGCGTCCTCTCAAAACAAGAAAGGTAACCTACATGCATAATATAGGGGCCTTAATAATTTCCTACACTATTTTTAGGGGTTGCTTGTCCCCAAACCCTTTCCTAACCATTAAGGGCCCTACAGTATGTTCAGGACATGCTAGGAAACCACAAGACAAAACTCTTCAGGAGGTAGGTTGGCATGATTTAGGGTGTTACCTTAGGCTTGTGTAAGCAATAATATTCTGCTTGTTCTGCAGGACGTTCTAAAACATAACAGGGCTTGGAGGGTTTAGGGTGTAGGGTTTAGGGTCGTAGCCATAATTTCGCTGCCCTACTTTCTCAGCGACGAACCTGTACGCATCGACTGGCTCTAGTTCCCAAAACCTACGGTGACGAAGAGCATGATTTAGCCCACAAGATGGAAGCAACAGGGCTTGCAGCAGGGTTTCGGGCATATCAACCTACGACGGCCAGAAGCCCCCCAAATCAAAAACCTAGTGCGTAGGGTTTAGGGTTTAGGGTTCTTAGGGTTGTGCCGCCGCGCAGAAGAACCCCTGGGAAACCTCGAGCTCGGAACCAGGCCCCAAAACGCCTCACCCAGAAGATGCCCAGAAATCCTAAATCCTGAACCCTGAAACCTAAACCCTAAACCTTGAACCCGAAATCCCGAAAGCCTCGGAAGGCCCCGCACCATCAGATCTGAAAGCGCAGCCCTCAAGAAGGCCCGTGCAAACGCGAGCATCCCTACATCCAAACCGAGCCTCACCCAAGACCGTAAGGTAGGGGCCTTAACAGTCAGAATAGGGTTTTGGGGGTTCCTCATGAAAATTATAGCATTAAAAAACCCCCAAACCCTATTTGAATTATTAAGGCCCCTAAACTAAACCCTAAACCCTTAACCCTAAACCCCTTAAGCCCTAAGCCTAAGCCATGCGAAGTGGGGGCAAGTTGCGCCATGGAGCGCAGCTGGCACCGAAAGGGACCTTCAATCCCACCAGCTCCTCGCAAGCTCACAGAGGTTTCGGTTTAGGGTTTGCGGTGTAGGGGTTTAGGGTTTAGGGATTTAACTGTCTAGGGTTTAGGGTTTAGGGATTTAAGGGTTTAGGGTCTAGGGGCTTACTTGGAGGGTCGGGGGACTTAGTAACTCGGTATTTTACAGACTTATAAGTACCATAACCCCAATTAGGATCCCTTTTAGGGTGCTTATAACTCCACTTGATATCTACTTACTGAGTCCCCCGACCCTCCAAGTAGGGTTTAGGGATTTCAGGGTTTAGAGTTTGAGGGTTCCCAGGAGGTCAAGGGTGTAGGATTGCCTGAAGCGACCCTCTCTCTTCGGGAGAGGGGTTAGATTTCGGGTCACGCGTGCCTTGCGAAGATAATGTAGGGGCCTAAATAATTACCAGTACTATTTTTTGGGGGGGTTCCTTAGTATAATTTCAGTATAATGGGCCCCAAAACCCTATTCTCCTTATCAAAGCTCCTATATTTGATAGCCAGCGGTATGGTTTAGGAAAGTTTCGGGCAAGTCTTACAGGCAGCAGTCTAGCGTAAGTCTCGCAGACAGAACAGCCTTGTCATCAGTATCATTTTGATGGAAAGGTGGTCTGCGACCCCTAAACCAGAACCCCAGGCCCTAAACTAGCCGAAACCCTAAAACCTACAACCCCAAACCCGAAGCCCGAAACGACCCTAAAATCTCAGACCCTAAACCCCAAGCCCGTATACCCTGCCGAAGCTAGGCCCTAAAGGGTTTAGGGTTTAGGGTTTAAGAGTCTCAAGTCAGACAGTGAGCTTCCTGGAATTAAGTTTACGGTTTACGGTTTAAGGTTTAGGTTTGTAGGATTTAGGTTTGGGTTTCGGGTTCAGGGTCTGGGATAATTAGGGTAAAGGACTGCGACTCCTTGTGGTACGATCTAGAGTCTTTAAGGTCACATCTCCAAGACAGTACACGTAAACATCAGCAAGTCAGAGACCCGCCCCAGCCACTCTAAACCCTGAACCCCTAAACCCCTAAACCCTAATCCCCTGTAAACCCCAGAACCCCTAAATTCCACACCCCTAAACCCCCACACCCTAAACCCTCGACCCTTGCACCCGGGAAGCTTGAATTCCAGCTCAGGCTGGGCAGATCAGAGGAAAGCAAAGATCGAGACTCTCGGCGCTGGGTTCAGGAGTTAGGGGGTTAGGGTTTAGGGTTGTGGTTTAGGGTTTAGGGGATTTGGAAGTAAGGGGGTTTTGGGTTTCGTGTTTACGGGGCTTAGGCTTTAGGGCTTAGGGCTTAGGGGGGGGGGTTTGGGTGTAGGGTTTACCAGGGCCCCCAAGTACCCTTTAAGGGGCTTCCAGATTCCTCATTATGAGATACATAGGGGCTACCGTAAAGGCCAGTTGGGTTGCTTTGGGGCTTCAGGCCTCGGGATTGCTCAGGGTGAAGCGTTTAGGGTTTAGGGGTTTAGAGTTTAGGGCTTAGGAGTTAGGGTTTAGGCTTTGGAGCTCCGGGTGAAGGGTTTGGGGTAGGTGCCGGGGCCATCTTCTAGACGCCCTAAACCCTAAACCCTAAACCCTAAACCCTAAACCTGGTGCCCTTCCACTCCTTGGTTAAAGTTTGGGAACCCTAAACCCTAAAGCGGCCCTAAACCCAAAACCCTTCCTTAATTCATAAGAAAGCTTCTTATTTGCAGGGCCTTTTTCTTTTCATCTTTATACCATTAACATCCGTATTATTAATATTACAGTATTATTCACCCGAATATGGTGTTTATAGGGACCCTACCGAAAAGTAGGTTTTGGTAGGTTAAACTAAGCTCTGAACTCCGAATCTCAGAACCCCGGGTTCGCCCTTCGCTGTTAACCCCGCGCAGCTGTTGGGGACGATGGCTGTTAATATAGGGGCCTGACTAGTTATCTCTACTATTTTGGGAGGCTCCTTGTTATAATTATGGTATAATATACCCCCAAAACCCTATTCTAACTATCAAGGCCCCTACATTGCGGTTCAAGACGTGCCAGGGCTGGGGGAGGTGAGCCGGGCTGTGGACGCCAGCGGCGCCATGGACGATACCAAGGGGCTACTAACTACCATGCTGCAGGGCCATGGCTGGGAGGTGCTTCCAAGATGCTCTATGACAGGGTCTAGAGTTTAGGGGTCTAGAGTTTAGGGGTTTAGGGTTTAGGGTTTAGGGGTTTAGGGGCTTAGGGCGTAGGGCACCCTAAACCCCTAAACCCTAAACTGGCCTGCAAGGGCTATCAATGGCATGTGCATCTCTCACAAAAAAACCAACGGCAGCTAGGAGCTCTTGAAGTTTGTGACGTTCTTTCGTGGGTAGTATAAATATAGAATTTTAGATACATTAATATAGTTACACGTGATCAACACCATAGAGGGTGTATAAATGCATAAGATATAGCATACTTAGCAGAATATCAGTTTTTGATATGTTAAACTGTTACATAAGCCAAGCATATAATATATGGTGTATAGTATGCAACATCTCTTATTTAATATATTGGCCACATTCTCTCGTATTCAGACTTTATAAGATGAGAAAATCAATAAATATAAATAAATAGAAAAATATATATATATATATATATATATATTACAGAACAGATCGGAAGGTAACTCAAACCGGCAGGTGTCCTTCCTTTCAATGTTTAGTCCGCCGGTGCCTCATGATTTATGATTCTGCTTGCACTCTAAACCCCTAAACCCTAAACCCTAGCCACGCCTGGGCCCCGTTACGACTAATGCGGAAACTTACCGAAGGAACGCCTTAATGATTAGAATAGGGTTTTGGTGCCCCTTGTACTAGATTTTTAATAAGGATTCCGAAAAGATGTTGGTAGTTATTTAGGCCCCTATATTATTCCGCGCAAAGAGTTCGGCCTTTGGGCGCTGTTGAGGCGGTCGACTTCGCACAACATGCCCCTGCGGTATGACATCGGAACCTTAAGGCCGAAAAGAACCCTAAAAGTAGGGGCCCTATACCCTTACACTATGAATCCCTATATGGTATATTATGAACCTTAAGCCCTTTCGGGGCCCTTCTCGTCCTTAAGGAAGGCCATCCCTTGAAGCTTTCATGGCACCCGTGGTCAATGAGTTACAACACTCAAGCAAGGCCAAAGCTGAGAAGCAGAGACGCCGGCAACCGTTTTAAACTTTTAAGGAGGTTTCCTTTTTTAGAAGGCTTAAGATGGCATTTGTAGGACCCTACCCCAAAAAATAGGAAGGCTGGTAGATTAAAGGTGGTGTTTGGGGAGAGCCAAAGCCTCAGCCCTGAGTCGTCCCTCAAAGGGGGTTTTTGGGTTTGGGGTTTAGGGTTTAGGGTTTAGGGGTTTAGGGTTTAGGGGGTTTAGGCTTTAGGGTTAAGGCTCAAAGGCTGAAAGCATTAAAGGCCTGGAGCCAGGAACCGTGAGCCTACGTCCGAAGTCTGCCCTGGCCCCTAAAACCCCAATTTTTGAAGCCTTAATAATTAGGATAGGGTTTTGGTGCATATTATACTACAATGATAATGAGGAACGCCCCAAAAAAGTATTGGTAATTGCTTAGGCTTCCATATTGAACCTCAACCGCTTACACTCAGAGAGCCGCTTGTAGAATCCTTGTCAGCGCCCTCAGAGGAGACCCTCGGCCCCAAAACCTCGTGGAAACAACGAGTGAGGGTGCGGTTTAGGGTTTAGGCTTTAGGGTTTAGGGTTGGGCATTGCTATAGTTGAAACCCTACTTCAGGGCTCATAGGACTTGGTAAGTAAGGTTATCATCAGTTTTATCATGTAAACTCTTACTTGCTACGTCCCCTGAGCCGTGAAACCCTATACACCCCTAACCTTTAACTCCCTAATCAAACCTTCAACTCTATATACCCTAGACCCCCAACCTCCAACTCCTGACGCCCGAAACCCTAAACCCTAAACCCTAAATCCTAAACCCTCATCCCTAAACCCTAAACCCTAAATCCTAAATCCTAAACCCTCATCCCTAAACCCTCAACCCTCAACCCTAAACCCTAAACCCTCAACCCTAAACCCTAAACCCTAAACCCTAAACCCTAAACCCTCCGAGGAAGGCGGAAAGGCTCCGGGCGGAAGCCCGCGCAAGGCTGCAGCAGCAGCAGAGCCCCGGAGGCGCCACACCAAAGGGTCAACTTAGGGGTTCAGGTTTTTGGGTTTAGGGTTTAGGGTTCAGGGTTTAGGGTTTAGGGTTCAGGTTTTAGGTTTAGGGTTCTTGGTTTTCAGGTTTTAGGGTTTAGGGTTCTAGGGTTCGGGGTTTAGGATCCAGGGTTCAGGGTTTAGGGTTCGGAGTTTGGGATCTAGGGTTCAGGGTTAGGGGTTCAGGGTTTAGGATCTAGGGTTTAGGGTTAAGGGTTCAGGGTTCAGGATCGAGGGTTTAGGGTTTAGGGTTCAGGGTTTAGCGTTTTTGGTTTAGGGCTTAGCGAGTTTAAGGGTTCAGCAGGTTTAGGGGGTTTGGCTTTTTTGAGGGAGTTTACAGGTTTAGGTTGGGGCTTCTAGAGAGTTTAGAGGCCTTACTACTAAGAATATGCCTTGCATCAGGAACTTGCTTTATTGGGGGTATTTACAGAGGGTATTATGGGATATCCCAACCTGAAGGCTCTTGTTTAGAGTGTAGGATTTAGGTGCTTCTTTGGATTCTTATTCTAGGGTTTGTGAGGTGGGGGTCCATGATTAGAAAGGTGTGTATAGTATAGTAACTACAGCTGTACTTTAGGCTGCATAGCACCTGTCTTTGGTTATCATATGGGTAGTTCTCTAAACTAGGGTCCCCTTTTGGGTCCCCAATCTAGTACGGCACCCTTATAAGAAGGACCCCAAACAGGGACCCTATTTACGAGAACTATCTTTTGGGTTTTTTAAGGATTTACAAGGTGGCATTCAGAGGGCGGCCTTGTGGGGTTGCACTACTGTAGATAGTAGAAATCCTGCATGACCTTCAGGACCCTTTACTTTGGGAGTTATGGTATTCCCTCTTACGGGCAATGCAAGATTTTTCTCATGAGCCGTAGGGTTTGGTGATACTCAGGAACTGGAGTGAACAATCTTATTGATTGTTCAGGTCTCTACAGTAGCTGGCATTGTAGTGGTTGGAAAGATCCCAATGCAGTTGGGCTTGGTACCGAACATTGCCGCCAAATGAGGAAGCCGAGATGGTACCAGGTAGGTTAGTCAGACTACTTGTGTCGTATATTGTCACGTGTCATATTTGCATGTGCTCCATAGAAAACTTAAAAAGTAATTGATGCTGCGCGCTGGCGCCCGCCTTTATTGCGTGTGTGTCTGTGTCTGCCTGTTGATCAAAGTTTTTCGTTTCAACATCCTGATAAACCGTATACCCACCCCAACTTCCCTAAAGATTATCAGTGTTGAACGGAATGGTGTCCTTGTTGGGGACTCAGGCCTTGCTGCGGGGATGAAGGACATGGCTTGCGGTTCAGAGGTTTAGGGTTTTGTTCAGGTTCAGAGTCTGAGAACATAGAGTTGGTTTGAGGGTTAAGCTCGTGACATTGGTTCAGTTTTCTGCAATCATCACATGCAGCCCACACCCATGTACTGTTCTGGGTTTTACTCCAAAAGCCTTCACTCTGAAACCCTCAACGCTACCCTGTCAAACCACCTCAGACTGATTAGAAGCCGAAAGACTTGTAGGATTTCGGATATGGAAGGTTCCGGGTTTTTGCCCTTGGGCCTTAGCAGAGGGTTTGTGTTTAGCAATTAAAGGGTTTTCCGGTCAGTTCTCTCGCAGCTCGGCAGTCGTCACGTCAAGCTTGGAATTGGATTGCCTCAACAAATTTCCGGGAGTACGAATTTGTTTATTCCGGTGCCATCAACAAACACAACTAAGGACAATGTGCCAGGCCATTCATACAAGACCCAATTCAAAGCAGAATGAACCAAGGACAAAACCAGATTGGCAAAGGCTTCGCAACGAGTTCATGTCGTGTTTGTTGGCACTAGTCTTGTGCATGGCTGGTATGCAATTTCGGTGAAACCTCATTTGTGGACGATCCCGTACTTAGCAAATAAGTCCACTTGTGAACCATGTGGCTTGGATTACATGATAAAACCTTCCCCTGAACCCTAAAACGATAAACCCTAAACCTTGCGAATTCGAATTGCAGGCACCCTTGCCCACCCTCGTGGCGGAGACGCTACTCCAGTCTCCTGCGCCGGTGGCACGCCAACCCAGGCGAAGAAGGCAGGACGGAAACCCTAAACCCCAAACCCTGAGCCCTAGACCCCAACAAACCCAAAGTCCTAAACTCCAAACCCTAAACCCTAAACCCTAAACCCTAAACCCTAAACCCTAAACCCTAAACCCTAAACCCAAATCCTAAACCCCGAACCCCAAATCCTAAACCCAAAGTCCTACACCCCAAACCACGGTTTTAGGTCTAGGTCGGAGAGAGCAGGCTGAACATGCCAGTCACCATGCAGGGTTTATGGCTTTCTGGCATGGATATGGGTAGTTGTCAAAATTATGGTCCCTGTTGGGGTACCCTAAATAATAGGTGCCGTATTATAATAAGGACCCAAAAAGGGACCCTAATTTTGACAACCACCCATATAGGGGTCGGAAAACAAGTTGTGTCTCTTGATTCAGATCGCTATAGTATGTTCCTGATATGCTTGCGCTCTCGATAGGGCTTGCGAGGTGCCTCTGCCGATCAGAGAGCAACGATCAAAATGCAGCAAAGCATGGCGGTAAGATTGACTGCGGCCAGACACTGCGATCGTTGATCAGCATCTCCAACTACACTGCGGGCTCGGGCGAGGCTGTCAACAGCTTGTGTTCAACCCTCAGTGGCTTTCAAAAATCTTCGCGCTTGTGAATTTGTCGTTGCGCACGGGCACCTCTGTGGACACAAGGCCGGAATCCGCGTTCGGACGCTTATCCGCGTTCGGACGCTTTGTGGCAGAAGTTGTCCTCCAAGTTCTTCGGCGATACGCGCCCGTTGCCATGTAGCCACACCCCTCATCCTTGAACCCCCAGGTTGTGAACATTAAGCCTAGTATTGAAACCTAGAACCCCCAACTATATACCCTCTAATATACCCTAAACCCTAAACCCTAAACCCTAAACCGGACTCTAATATACCCTAGATGCCCACTATTAAGGACCATAAGGGCTCCACTAAGGAGCCCTTGGGGGCCCCGGGTTCATTAGTATCCTTTTTGAGGGCCCTCTTTCTGGCTTTGGGTTTAGGGTTTAGGGCCATTATGTTACTTACTCTTGCGGGTTTGGGTAGGCTTCTCCTGTTAATGGGTTTGGGGTTGGCGTATGTTTTGGAAACTTCAGGTTTTTTGTGGGACACCATGGCTCCGGTCTTAAGCGATAGCCAGAAATATTTTAGCGCTTAGGCTTTGCGACGGCAGCTTGTAAAGCGCTAAGTGAACATCTTATTCTTGCGATAAAGGCTTCACCTCTAAACCCCCTTTTCTAGGTTCCTGTCGCAGCCAATGTCCCGAAATGTTTTAACTTATGTTTCCTGAACTCAATTTGTTAAGCGGCCGTTTTATTCCTGTGAGAAAGCTCACACGTCCAAACCC